GGCTGCAGCTCGGGCAGGGCAGCGTGTCAGGGCCTTGGCACTTGCCACCCAGGGCTGGGGCCAGAGAGCCCTGGATGGGTCCGGGCTCAAGGAGCGCCCAGCTGTGAACGTGCCGCCGAGCTCAATAGAACCCCTAGTGGCTCCTCGGCAAAGAACTTCTCCGAGCCCTGCAGTCCCTGGGACGGGCGCTCAGAGGCTTGGTCCGGCAGGGTTACCATACGTCCATATGCCGGCCGGCCAGGATTTTTAAATATCGAAAAACCAGGACTTTTTTTAGATATTTAAAAATTCTTCCTGGACGGCCATTTAACAACCAAAAAGCCGGACATGTCCGGGGAAATCCAGACGTATGGTAACCCTAGTGAAAGGCACAGGTTTGATTCCAAGATCTAGCCTCTGACTCTTGCAGGTTGGCAAAGGCTGGGAGCACTATGGGTGAGATCTGGTGTTTGGTCCCTACTGAAGAGAAGGGGAGCAAACCTTCTGGCTGATCTCAAGGTGGCATTGATGAGCTCTACAGGGAGCTGCATCCAGCTCACCTAGGCTGAAAGAAAGTCACTGCAATGTGACATCAGGAGGGAGGGGGACCAGAAGGAAAAATGGAACGATCACCCAGACAGGAGTCTTCCTCCCTCCAAAAAGCAGCAGATGCTTTTAATAGGGCTACTCTTGCCTATCTGTCAACTACAACTTGTGAACTAATAAATATTTTCTGACTTAGTTATACTGAAACAGCTTAGGGCAACACACCCTTTGTTGGCCATGGTTACAGGGGCAAAGAAACAAGTTAGAGCTAAGGAAACATTTGAAGACAAAGCAAGGAAGCTACCACAGGATACACATACAAAGGAAAAGCAGATTGACTTATAACTGGTGTTTATCTTTAATAGGCATCCCCAACTCCAGAGGTGATTTGGCTAAAGGATGGGCTTCCTCTACCCAACAGGGCCATAGTGAGCACCAGAGATGGCCTCAGCCAACTCTTGATTCCATCAGCTGAGTTTTCTGACAGTGGGCTCTATACCATCATACTTCAAAACGATTGAGGGGGAAAAAGAATCCTTCAGCTTCCACGTGCAAGTCGCAGGTAACATGCATAGCAGGTTTGGTGGAGAATAAAATGCTAAGAGAGAGGATCCAGTCCATGACTGAGTAGAGGACTGTGAGTTTTGATGGGGTTAAGCACTGTGGACAAGGAAAGGGCTAGGTAATACAGTCTTTCATGAGATGACACTCCAAAGACCAGGTGCTATAGTCTAGGGCAGGTCTACAGAATACTGTCATCCACTGATTACATTACAATCCAAGACCCAGCCAGGTACCACCAACAGAGAGACAGCTGTATTCTCTGAGAGGACTAGGGTAGTACAAGCTATCAGAGAGCCAACTTATACAGTCCATAACACAGCCAGGTGTCTCAGTCCATGACAGGGCTCTGTGAATATCAGTTAGCAAATGGAACAAAGTATCCGTGTCCAACCATAAGAACTCTATAGCCCTCTCAGCTCCTTCACTAACAGTTTATAAAAACACAGCTGTATCAGCTATCCAATAGAAGGGAAAGAGATGTGTCACTATTGCCAGTCCAGTTAATGCTGAATTTCCCTTAATCCAAATGGGAGGACCTGTATATTTGGAGCAAAGGAATCAGAGGTCATTTCTCACTAATGACCATCAAGTTTAGCTGGCCACAATGCTCAAAATATCTGATCTCCATGAAGTTTATGGGGTTGCAGAATTGTTATAACATCTTAAACTTACCACTTTCTCTACTCCCTCCATACTATTTGTCTTCACTTTGCAGATATCCCACAGTCCCCCGGCCCTATTCTTCTGCAAGAGAAAGTCCTTAATACGGTGACAGTGATCTGGGAGCCCTTGCCGACAGAGAAGTGGGAAAGTAACCTGTACTATGTGGTCATGAAATGTGACTCCAACAAGGGCTCATGGCAAGTGGTGGGTGACCTGATCTACACCAACAAGTTTACCATCACCAAACTTATCCCTGGCCGGGGGTATTACTTTAGAGTTGTGGCCAAAAATTACATGGGAACCAGTGATCCATCTGAAACTGCACAGCCCTGGATCATGCAAAAGGAAAAGGGTAAAAAGGCTTTTTAAAAAAATCTATCAGTGCACCTGTGTTGTTGGGTCTCAGTCAAACTATCCCATTAATAAATCCTTGTCAGTGTGTCCCAGTCCCCATATGTATGCTGTCTGCTCAGATGAGAGCCCACTGAGATATCCCCAAGAAATACTGTTGGGCAAGGAAAGATGTCCCCTGCCGGACATGAATGTTTACAGATCAGTGGGAACAGTGAAGCTGGGCTTCTCCATTCCTACCAATATACCGGCTCGTATTACTCATATGGGTAAGAGCTGCCAAGAGAATTAATTCCTAGCAAACTCTGAAATTAGATGAATTCGACAGAAGCCAAGGGGTGTGACCTCAATGGTGAGGACTTGGCAATTTTAAGAAGGAGCCACAGAATCCAACCTACAGGAGTTGAGGACCCCACCCCATTTGGGAAGGACCAGGTGACCTGCAGGCGCTAGACTGGTACTGTGTAATCCTCATGATCTGTAGAAGGAGCCATGGCCTTGTCCATATGCCAAAGACCTAATGATCCCCTCCAGATTCCTGACTGGGACTTTGGAAACTTAAGAGGAAACTACTCCTAGAGAATACAGCTCAGGCTCTATATTGAGCCTATTGCATTCTAGGAGAGGACTTTTGGGTGCTACATGCAGCACAGACTGGATCAACAAAGCTTTTAGTTCTGTCCCCTTTTATTGAGTCTCAATGCTTGGATTAAAGGAACTCCCAGTAACAGTAACTGGGGTCATAATACAGCAGAGAAAGGCAGGGCTCTACACATATGGCCACTGCATGGCAACTCACAGAAGGAGCCATGAACCCTGACCTAGGGAGCCAGGCCCTGCCAATTTTGAAGGGTGGATGCCAAATGCAATTATTAAGTGCGATGGGTGGAGGCTGCTTCTGCACCCAGCCTTTAGTCCTCTGGAACAGTTGCTGAGTGTGTATTTGTCTCTTATAGATGAGTTTAAAGTCAGACTACCCAAATACAGGAGGGTGAATCAAAATATGCCCCCAAGATTCCTCGTCCAATTGAAGCCCCACGTGGTGACCACAGCATATGATTGTCACATGAGCTGTGCAGTGAGTGGCTACCCAAAACCTAAGATCACCTGGTACAAGGATGGCAGGAATCTCTCAGAAGACCCCACCTTCTTCAGCACAAATGACTTTGGTGTCTGCTGCCTGGTGATCCCAGGTGTCACGAAGAGAGATGAAGGAGAGTACAAGGTGGAAGCCACCAATGAATTGGGCCATGCGGTCAGCAAAGCCATGCTTATCATAAAAGGTAAAGTGACCTTGGTCAAGTCTCTTAGTCTCTGTTCCTCAGTCTGCATCTGTCAAATTGGAGATAATGGCTCACAGAGAGGTTGTGAGGATAAACACACTACAGATTGGGAAGAGCTCCGATACTGTGGTGATGGGGCAAATTTGGAATCTATTGAAGGATGGTCCGTATTCAGATGGGAGACTCCAAGAAAAAACAAGGTGCCACAGGGAGCAGAGTGGTGGGCTCAGTAGGGGCACACTCAGTCTGTGCTGATCCCAGTGCCCCAGTGCTGTGCTAGAGGGCCTGTGATGCTGGAGATGCAGCCATCAGATGAGAGAGAAAACCAAGGTCCCGACTGCTCATGGTTATTAGAGATCCCAGGGTACTTATTGGGTGTAATGCGTGGGTGCTGGTAGCAGGCTGTGATATGCCAGAGGTCAGACTAGATGATCTGGTGGTCCCTTCTGACCCTATGGATGGCTCCTGGCACATCATCTTCTGTGCACCACCCATGTGTGTGTGATGTAAGATAGCATTTCATTGCCACCAGGGCATCTTGCAAATGGCTACCATGGGGCATTATTTGCCAGTTCAATACAACTTTATATTGGGTAGTGTTTACCCAGAGTGCTTTACTGAGTTCAATAATACATCTACAAAGACCAAGAGTGACAGAGAGAAATAGAAATTAAGAAGCAGAGGAGAGGAGAGAGGCTTTCAGCTGAGACTGGAAAATAGATGGAGATTCATAGATTTCAAGGCTAGAAATGGCCATCATGATTAGCTAATCTGATCTCCTGCACAACACAGGTCATTACACAGCCAGTGTTGCCTGTGTCGAGCCCATAACTTCTGGCTGGGCTAGAGCATATCTTTTTAGAAAGAGACATTTAGTGTTGATCTAATGAGGTAGAGTCACAAAGTAGTTCTGCCAGATGGCAGAAGCTGCAAGAGAGAAGACTCTTGCACCAGCCATAGTGAGATTGGCTGAAGCAATAGGGAGAAAGCTGGGGCTAGATGGACAAAGCAGATGAGAAGGTGAGCATAGAGAGGGAAGGACATGAGCTAGGCTGGAGTAAGTTCCTCAAGGGGATAATTCAGGATCCAGATCAGAAATGAAAGAAAGCCACTTGAGTTGTTTGAGAATGGGTGTGATGGGGCAGGGACAGGGCCGGCTCCAGGCACCAGCCCAGCAAGCAGGTGCTTGGGGCGGCCAAGGGAAGGGGCAGCACGTCAGGCTGTTCGGCAGCAACAATTCGGCGGTGGGTCCCTCTCGGAAGGAAGCACCTGCTGCCGAATTCCCACCAAAGAAGAAAGCGGCGTGGGGGAGCTGCCGCCGGAGTGCTGCCGATAGCAATTGTGATCGCGGTATTTTTTTTTTTTCCGCTTGGGGTGGCAAAAACCCTGGAGCCGGTCTTGGGAAGGGATTATGTATGGGTAGGAAAAGGAAGGCACCAGCGTTCAGCACACATTACTCAGTTTCTAACTCAGTGCATTCAGGCAGAGCTCTTACTGGAATCAGTGACTAAAGAATGCATGAATAGACCTCAGGATCTGGCCTGCTGTGAATAATAGCTCATGGTACCATGACATGATTCAACAACTCACAACAGGCATGAAATTAATCCAAGTCATTCTTGCAGATTGGAAGAGCCATGCATAAATTTAGGCCAGGTGCCCTGATCACAGAACAGGTTAGTCTCTCAAGAGACTCTTTATCTCCAGAAATCTCTAGACACTTTTGTTTTACTTCTGCAAAGCATATTCAGCATCTCAGCCATGATATTTGTACTCCACAAAATAAAATAAGAAAATTTTGAGGCTAGAGTGATCCTGGGGGAAATCATTGGATTTTCTACCTGCTTCTAACACTTATACAGCCTTTAGGTTACTTGCATCAGTCACAGAGAAATCCTGGGCTGGGAAAGCCTCCTAAGTTCCAATCTTGTCTGTATGGACAGACTGACCAATTCCTCTGTGGTGCAACTCCACTGATTTACAGCAGAGATTAAGTTGGCCTGCTGTTACTTTTCACCAGGGCCGGCTTTAGGCCGATTCGGCCGATTCCCCTGAATGGGGCCCCGCGCCTAGAGGGCCCCGCGCAGCTGTCCATCCGGCCCACGGCCCACTTACCCCTCCTCCCCTGAACGCTCCACCCACCTTCTCCTCCCCGCGAATCAGATGTTCGCGGGAAGCTTGAAACAAGCAGCAGGCAGGAGGTAAGCAGGGGGTGGAGGAGAGTTCCAGGGGGGCTCAGTGCGGCCCAGGTCGAGCGCGCGGCTCCCTCTGGTCTGGCCCCGGCCGAACACCCCCAGCCCGGTCCCGGCCAAGTGGCTCTGGCCCGGCCTGGCTCGGGCCCTGCGGCGCCAGTCTCGGTCCCGGCTGAGCGGCTCTGGCCCGGACCCAGAACCGGCCGAGCGGCTCCGGCCTGGCTT